GTCTTCCCCCGACCAGCCAGCCGCCTCATGCCCCAGGCCTTCTTCCTGTCAGTCCTCTGAGAAGTCCCTTCCCACTTTCTTTCCTGCTGGAGTCTTACTCACCCTGCATGGCTCCACAGAATATTCCTAAGATGGGCAGGGCAAGCTCCCCTTGCACCCTGCTATTTCTAGAGGGAGGCAGGATGTAATGGTGAGTGAGGGGGCCTGGTGCCCGATTGCCAGGGCTTCGATCAGGCTCCAGTGACCTTGGGGAAGTTACTGAACCTTTCCTGCCTCTAATTCTGCATCTTTAAACTGGGGCTGATAATAAAGGCACCTACCTCAGGGGCTGTTGTGCTAATTACAGGGGTTAATGTAAGTAACCTGCTTAGAACAGTGGCCAGCATATCTTAAAGCTTAGTAAATGTTAGCTATTACCATATTATATTGGAATTTTATTTATACATTCCCTCTGCTTCAAGACAAACAGACACACACACATCCAAGACCAAAGTTGTCAAATGCAGGAGCCACATGTAGCTATTTAAATATGAATAAATTAAAAATTCATTAAACTTTTTATGGAGGTAAAAATAAATGCAGCTCCATAGTCCCACTAGCTACATGTCGAGTGTTTAACAGCCCTGTGTGTCTAGTAGTTACTTGAGCGGATTTCAGGTCCCTACCCCTTCAAAGTTACCATTCTAAGCCTGCCCAGTTCTCTCCCCAAGTTACCACTCTCCTTGGCCTTCCCATGTGTTCTGACCCATTGGTTCCCCTTCTCCTTAGATCAGTGGTTCGCAACCTTTCTGGCACCAGGGACTGGTTTTGTAGAAGACAGCTTTTCCACAGATGGGGCTTGGGGGCGATTTCAGGATGATTCAAGCGCATTACCTTTACTGTGCACTTTCTTCTTAATCTAACCCCACTGCTGATCTGATAGGAGGTACTGTCCGTGGCCCAGAGGTTGGGAACCCCTGCCTCATATACTTGCTTTCTGTTCTGGTCTCTGGGGCAGCTTGTCCCTGGCCAGGCCACTGCAGCCCTTCTCTCCATCCAGGTGCCCGCTCCCAGCCCTGGGTACAGTTCCAGCGCCGGGCTGCCCGCCTGCCGGTCAGTTCTACCTACAGCCAGCTCTGGGCCTCGCTCACACCTGCCAGCACCCAGCAGGAAATGCGGGCTTTCCCTGCCTTCCTGGGCACGGAGGCCTCCAGCTCAGGTATGCTGGGTGCCAGCCACGGAAAGGATTCCCACCCCCCGCACCCCGCCGCCACCAGGACTTAGCCCTCAGCCCTTGTTTCCCCTTCCTGCAGGCAACGGCTCCTGGCTGGAGCTGATGCCCGTGGCCGCTGTGAGCGTGCACCTGCTGGCAGGTAACGGGACAGAGGTGCCGCTCTCAGGCCCCATTCACCTGTCCCTGCCTGTGCCCTCGGAACCTCGTGCCCTTGCCGTGGGCACCAGCATTCCAGCCTGGAGGTTCGACCCCAAGAGTGGTGAGTGCCTGGTTGGGGGCGGTGCAGGTGCTGGAGTTTGGGGAAAGAAAGTGGGACTAAAGCTGGGGACACTGAGTTTACTGAAAGCCCTGCCTCTCCCAGGGCTGTGGGTACGCAACGGCACGGGTGTGATCCGCAAGGAAGGCCGGCAGCTCTACTGGACCTTCATCTCCCCTCAGCTGGGGTACTGGGCAGCCGCCATGGCCTCCCCCACGGCTGGTGAGAGTTGGGGGGGCAGCAGGCACCGGGGGGGCGGTGGTAGAAGGGGAGGCGGGGAGAGTGGACTCCTTCTGAATGGCAGGAGGGACAGCCACCCCTGGGAACACTAAGCCCTCGCCTGGCACAGGGCTGGTCACCATCACATCGGGCATCCAGGACATTGGCACCTACCACACCATCTTCCTGCTCACCATCCTGGCAGCCCTGGCCCTGCTCGTGCTCATTCTGTTGTGTCTGCTCGTCTACTACTGTCGGTGAGTGCCCCCCACCTGCTCCCACTGCCTCCCGATGCCCAAGCCTCCTCATTCCAGCCATGGCCTGAGGCCTGCTCCATGCCTGGTCTTGAGCCAGGTGCTGGGGCCCCAGAGATGCATAAAACACCACTGAGATTCTTAAAGGCACTGCCAGGAAAGCCCTGCATATGCATATGCATAGGTAAAGCCGGAAAGACTGGTGGCTTCATAGAAGTGGGGGGAGAGGAGGCAGGAGCTGCAGGCCAGGCCCCTGCAGAGACCATCTGCAGCTGCTTCTACCACCCCGGCCCCCACTTCCAGGGGACCTGAGGCCACACAGGCCCCTGGTTGGCCTAGGTTCCTTCCCGGCTCTCACTGCACCTGCCATGAACCACGGAGTGCGGTTTACCCCGAGGGGGGACCCAGATGGATACCGCTGCCTGCTGGACCTCCCACAGACACTCCAACTCTGTCCACAAACCTCTCCCAGGACCCACCTGGGCTCCCCAACCTCTCTCCTGAGTACCAAGCATTGTTAGGACCCCTCCAACTATACCCACCCCCATCTTCCAACTTCGGGGTCAGGGACCCCCACCCTTTCCTGACACCCCGATCTGCCCCCGTGTCTCCAGGAGGCGCTGCCTGAAGCCGAGGCAACAGCACCGCAAGCTGCAGCTCTCCGGCCCCTCTGATGGTAACAAACGAGACCAGGCCACCTCGATGTCCCAGCTCCACCTCATCTGTGGGGGACCCCTGGAGCCCGCGCCGTCGGGGGATCCCGAGGCTCCACCTCCAGGGCCCCTCCACTCCGCCTTCTCCAGCTCCCGGGACTTGACTGCCTCCCGGGACGACTTCTTCCGTGCCAAGCCACGCTCCACCAGCCGCCCGGCCGCCGAGCCTGCAGGTGCCCGCGGGGGCGAGGGCGCCGGGCTCAAGGGCGCCCGCTCCGTCGAGGGTCCCGCCGGGCTGGAGCCAGGCCTGGAGGAGTACCGGCGGGGGCCCCCGGGGACCCCGGCCTTTCTGCAGGAGCCTCCCTCGCCGCCGCCGCCCTTCGAGCACTACCTGGGCCACAAGGGGGCGGCCGAGAGCAAGACCCCCGACTTCCTGCTGTCGCAGTCTGTGGACCAGCTGGCGCGGCCGCCGTCGCTCAGCCAGGCCGGGCAGCTCATTTTCTGCGGCTCCATCGACCACCTTAAGGACAGCGTCTACCGCAACGTCATGCCCACCCTGGTGATCCCCGCGCACTATGTGCGCCTAGGCGGCGAGGCGGGCGCAACGGGGGCAGGCGAGGAGTCAGCCCCACCCGAGGGCGCGGCCCCCGGCCCCGCGCGCCCTTTTCCCCAGCCCGACCCCCAGCGCCCTCTGATGCCGGGCCACACGGGCGCGGGGGTCGAGGGCGGCGGGGGTGGCGGTGGCGAGGGCTGGGGGAGTGGGCGCTCGGCTCCGGTCAGCGGCTCGGTCACCATCCCGGTGCTGTTCAACGAATCGACGATGGCGCAGCTCAACGGGGAGCTGCAGGCCCTGACCGAGAAGAAGCTGCTCGAACTGGGCGTGAAGCCTCACCCGCGCGCCTGGTTCGTATCCCTCGACGGGCGCTCCAACTCGCAAGTGCGCCACTCCTACATCGACCTGCAGGCGGGCGGCGGCGGCCGCAGCACGGACGCCAGCCTGGACTCGGGCGTCGACGTGCACGAGGCGCGGCCGGCGCGCCGGCGGCCCCTGCGGGAGGAGCGGGAGCGCACCCCGGCGGCCGCCCCGCCGCCGCCGCCGCCGCCGCCCCCGCCGGCGCCCCCGCGCCTGGCGCTCAGCGAGGACACGGAGCCAAGCAGCAGCGAGAGCCGCACGGGCCTCTGCTCCCCGGAGGACAACTCGCTGACACCGCTGCTGGACGAGGTGGCGGCGCCCGAGGGCCGGGCGGCCACGGTACCCCGGGGGCGGGGCCGCAGCCGCGGGGACAGTTCTCGCAGCAGCGCCAGCGAATTGCGGCGCGATTCGCTCACCAGCCCGGAGGACGAGCTGGGGGCGGAGGTGGGCGACGAGGCAGGCGACAAGAAGAGCCCGTGGCAGCGGCGGGAGGAGCGGCCGCTCATGGTGTTCAACGTCAAGTAGCGCCCGGCCTGGCGCCGCCTCCCGGCCGGCCCCCGCCCCCTCCGCCCGGGCCCGCCCCCAGGGTGCGCGCTCCGGGGGGCCGCGGGGGCCCTCGCCCTTAGCCCCCAGCCCCGGCCTGGAAAGCCCGGGGCCCTGCGGAGCTGTCCGGTGGTATGTGCTGGGTAATGTCTTGGGAGGGACCCGTGTCTGCCTCTGAGAGGGAGGTGAGGGAGGGGGGACCAGACCCCCGATGGGAGGTGCTGGGGAGGAGGGCTGGGTGGGGGGAAGCAGTGCCTGTATAAACGTGGCTGTACATAGAAAGCTCTATCGTGGGAAAGCAGGAGGGGCAACGAGGCCTCAGCGGCTAGCCTGAGGGCCGGGAAGGGAGGGGGCGTTCTAGCGGACCCCTGGGATGGGAGGGGGTGCTGCTTGCTGACTAGCCCACCTCTGGGCTGCGATGTCACAGGGCTGGAGGCTGGGGCGGCTCCGGGGACTAGGGAGTAATGTGATGGGATCGCTGTGGGCAACAGCAAATATAAAACTGGTGAGATGAACTGCTGTGTGTCTTTCTGTGGGGGTGGGGGAATGTGGACACTGGATGGGGACCCTGGCTCAGGGGCCCCCTGGGGGAGGGCAGGCAGAGTGGCCAAATCAGACACTATTAAGAAAGTGTACAAACTTTATTGCAGCACGCACACGCACGCACACATACACACGCACGCACACCCGTGGATAGGAAGAGCACCTGGCCACAGGGTTGACAGAAATTGGGGGAGGGGATGGCAGCTTGAAACGTGGCTTCCGCCACAGCCCCGCCTCCACCTTGGCATAGGGGAGGCCTTAGATTCAGGCCACACCTCCCAGGGCGATGGGGGACTCAGAAGGGGGTCTGGGAGAATGTGGTGGGGGAGAGGTGCTGGGGAGGCCTGAGCAGTGGGGACCCTCTGAGCAGGGTCCTGAGGGCTGCCAAGTCAATCCTCAGGCCCCCTCACAGCAGCTGTCTCGGCCTCGGGTCCCTCCAAGGAGCGTCCCAGCGCAGGGCCTCCTGACGTAAACACTTGGTCCCCCTGGCTCCGCAGCGGAAGCCACGGGGGCAGCAGTGACGCCTGTCCGCACAACAGGTGCCCTTGATGGTCAGAGTAGGGGGCGAGAGTTGGACGTGGCAGGACCCGGCCCGGGCCCTTACCCAGCCCCAGGGCGGGGGGCGGCACTGACCTGTCGGTAGGGGCAGCAGGCCCAGCCCCCTCGGCTGTCTGCGCAGCAGGTCTGGTTATCGCGGCAGAAGTGCCCCGCCCCACACTCCACGTTCCCCACGCCCACAAGAGGGCCGCCGGCCAGGCGGAGGGCAGGGTGCGCAGAGTCCACCTCCTTCTCACAGGATCGGGCCTTCACGTTGCAGGTGTAGCCAGCGGGGCAGCAGTGCTGGCGGTCCTCACAGCACACGGCCTGCGGGGGACAAAGGGGCCTCGCACTCTCACCCCACTCAGGTGCCCTCCCACCTGAGACCAGGCCCCCCTGTCCTGACCAGGAGTGGGCAGGTGGGCACTCACATGCGGCAGCTGGCAACAGGCCCAGGCCCCCCTCAGGCTCGGGCAGCAGGTCTGCCCTACGGGGCAGCTGGTGTGCTGGTCACAGCCCGTGTCTCCGGGGTGGGGCGGGGAAGCCCGGCGGGCAGGCACCTTGTCCAGTCCGGTCAGCACCTGGTTCCCCCTCTTACAGTGCCCTCCGGCCACACACGTGTAGCCCTTGGGGCAGCAATGCTGGTGGTCCGAGCAGCAGACAGCCTGGGAAGGCGGCAGGAGAGGGTGGTCTAGGCAGCTACTCTGGGCCGGAGCGCTGAGCCCCTGCAGCCCCCACCCTGCCTCTCCCGCTGGGCTCCTCCAGCTGGGCATGACTGTGACTGAGCTGGTGTCCCCCATGGGCTGGGTAGAAGGCAACAGGAGCCTGGCCATGTGCCCAGGCCAAGACACTGCCCCTCTCCCGGAAACTATCCCCCCGCCCCATGCACCTCTGGGGCAGGACAGCAGCCCCACTCCCCAGACGTGAGTCGACAGCAGGTGGTGGAGGAAGGACAGCTGTTGACGTTATCACAGGGGACATCACTCTCCACAGCTCCGTGGTCCGGCAGGCTGAGGTGGGCTGGGACTTTCTCCATCCACAGCACCCGGCGGGTCCCCTCTTCACACACACCCTTCTCTGTGTCACACCGAAACCCGGACGGGCAGCAGTGCACGTGGTCCTCACAGCACACAGCCTAGGGCGGAGGGAGAGGGGAAGGTGGGCCTCGGGGGGACTGGCTGGCGGCCGCCCTCTGCTCAGCCCGGGCCACTCCCCACTCCTCGGTACCTGCACAAAAGGGCAGCAGCCCCAGGCCCCGGACTGTAGGCGGCAGCAGGTGTAGTCGTCTGGACAGCTCACCTCCATGTCGCACTTGACATCCTGCACTGTGAGAAAGGTGAGGCAGCGGGTCAGCAGGGGCACTGGGGACCCTTGGGGGTGCCCTCCCTCTGCCAGCTCCACAGTGAGAACCAGATGCGGAGGAGGGAGGGGATGGCTCAGGCCACCCCAGCAGTGATCCTAAGGCGAGGCCCAGTGGGGACGGAAGGGGACTGTCCCTGCTTTCAGCCCCTCCGTGCATGCGGCCGTCAGTCTCCACACCCGTGGTGTAGGTAGAATGGGGTCTGCGGTCTCCCCCAGTACCTGTGTGTGCGGGCAGCTTGGTGAGGAGGTCCGTAGCATTCTCCTTGGAGAGGCACTTACTGTGGGTCAGGTCACACACAGTGTTCTGCGGGCAGCAGTGCAGGTGGTCGGAGCAGCAGATGGCCTGGGTGAGGGCAGGGTGGGTCTTTGGGATTTCAAGTCTCCCTGGTTCAGGGAGCAGCCAGGCCGACAGCAGGCACTACCCCAAGTCTACCACTAGGCGGTGGCATGAGTGCTGAGCAGTCAGGCTCCCAGCTGCCAGCCAGCCAGCCCCACCCCCTGAAGTCACTGCCAGGTAGGTAGGTGGGTACCCAGGCCAGGTGAATGCGGGCACACAGTCCAGCTGACTATAGCCCCTCACTTACATTGGGCATCGGGCAGCAGCCATACTTTCCAGTGGGCAGCTGACAGCAGGTAGAACCATCGGGGCACTGGGACCGTCCATCTGGGCATAAGATCACTGGAAGGGGAGAGAAAGGTGAGGGGCAGCCAGGGTGGAGGGGACAGTCTCTCCAGCTCTCTCCAGCAGGAGTTAGAAAAGGCCTCTCTTCACCCCAGACTCATACCTCCTTACCTGAACTTTTAGTCTTGTGTGCAGGCATCTTCTTAGCCAGGGGGTGGGTGCCTGTGGCTGAGAGACAGCGGCCATGAGCCAGGTCACAGGACGTGCCATGGGGGCAGCAGTGTATCTTGTCTTCACAGCAAGAAGCCTGAGAAGAGATGGCCCTGTCTCTGTCTTTGCTCCCTCCATCCCTTCCTCTGCCCACACTGCCTTCCCTCGCCACCCTCCGTCTTCCCGAAGTTGTACCTGGGGCATGGGGCAACATCCCCAGGAGCCATCAGGCATGGTGCAGCATGTGGAGGAGTTGGGGCACTGGAACTGTTTGTCGGGGCACTGGACGGCATCCAGGGGCTTGGTATCTGTAGACAGGATGACCCAGGACTCCGCCCAGTCAGTGACGGTCATTCCCCCCATCACTCAAGGGGCTGCTGGCACCAGCACCTTCCAGCCCAGCTACAGGAGGATTCAGGGGCTGGCACTAGAGCTCAGGGCTCCCCCGGCTCTCTTAATCCACTCTCCCCCAGGCCAGTCCTTGTACCAGCAATATGCCACAGGGCAAGGGCATCCACTGACCGGGTAGGCATCAGAAGCAATATTGTAGCAAATTCAATAAAGACTTTTAAAATGGTCCACATCAAAAAATGTTTAAAAAAAAAAAACAGTTCAGCTTGGCCTGTCCTCACCCCCACAGTGCTTGGTTCTGGGCCTGGGGTCTTGCATTCTCTTCTGACCCCTCCTCACCCCTCTGTCCAAAGCAGGGTGTGTGTGGGGGGGGTGTTGCTTAGTACAGATGTCATACAAATGAGGGCACAAAGGCAGGAATCAAGGTCACTCTGCTGGCTGGGCTCCTGGATGCTCCAAATTCTTCTGCTCCCACCTCCCTGCCCTCCGCCTCCACCTCTGCCGCACCTGATCTTTGGAAGCAGGACTGCCCATCAGCGCTGCAGTGGAAGCCCCGGGGGCAACAGTGGCGGCCATCCCCGCATGACACAGCCTATGGGACACAGAAGCGCCTTGGTTACCGAGGCCCATTTCCCTGGGGGGGTGGGAGAGTGCAGGAAAAGTGTAAATGCAGACCCAAGCTTCTCTGTAGACCTAATGGCACCCTCACCTCTGGGAACGGGCAGCAGCTGGAGGTCCCCGAGACAGTGAGGATGCAGGAGTAGCCAGGAGCACAGTGGCCGTTGGCCTGGCAGGGTCGGCCCAGATGCTGGCTCAGCACGGACGGCTGCTGGTCCTGGGAAGCGAGATGAAGAGATAAACTGAAGGACCCGAGCGAGCCTGGCCCGCTCCTCTGGCCAATCCAAGAGGCCCGATCCCAGGCTTCCAGCTCTTTGCCTGGGCCATAGGGCACTCACCGGAACAGGATTGCAGCAGCTGTAGGTGGCTCCATTAGAGTCCAGGCAGCAGGCCACAGGGCAGAGCTGACCGTCTGGGCACTGCGTTCCAGCCACCAGCCCTGTCACTAAGGCCACCCAGCTCACCAAGGTCCACATGGTCCGCCTGCAAAGTCCCAAGAGGCATTTGGCAACTGGCTTAAGCTGAGGCCACCCTTGATTCTGGGACCAGTCACTCCCACCTGCCGAAGGCTCAGGACCACCTGAGCCTCCACAACAACAGCCTGTCCAGGCAGGAAGAAAGATGGAGGGCTTGAGGCTCAGCTTCCTACGTGTGTCCTGTGCGGGGGTCACACATGCACCAGCGAGTGTACACCCATACGCATGAATGCTCACATGAGTGTGTGAATCTGTGTCCCAAATATGTGGCCTAACTGTTGAATCTCTGTGGCTGAGTGTGTGCAGATGTGGGTATGTGAGAGTCCGGAAGATTTGTGGGTTTTGTGGGCCTGAACTGTGGGGACGTGAGCCACCTCCATGGGGGTGGGAAAGACATCAGTTGCCCAGAAGACAGAACTGAAGTCTCCCCCTTGAAGAAAAGGCAGGGTTTCACTTCCCGAGCCAGCTCCTCCAGTTGCCTCCTCACCCAATGCTGTGTTCATACCTGCCCTCTGCTAAGGCCTGTTGACAGGGGAGGGGAGGTCACATGACGACATGAGCAACCACGGGGTTGAGAAAGTTGTGAAAAAGGAAGTATGATGTTGACGGAGTCTGGGCTGCCTTCCCCAAAGGTCAGCCACCACCTGCCCGCTGACTGTCCCCTCCCCATCCAAAGGAGACACACAGGCTTGGTCAACCTTTGGGACACCTGTGTTCCTTGGGCCCCCAATATCACCAGGCCCTTTCTTTGTTTAATTTTTTTTTTTAATTAAAAAAATCTGGGGGCATGCCCATGCAACATGTTGGTTCTTAGTTCCCTGATCAGGGATTGAACCCATGCCCCCTACATTGGGAGCTCTGAGTCTTAACCACCAGACTGCCAGGGAAGTCCCACACCAGGCCCTTTCAGGATCCTCAAACATACCCACCACGCTTCCCCTCTTCCTCTCCCTATCCTGGTGCAGAAACCCAGCTGCATATAGAGAGCCCATGTGTGCCCACCAGGCTGCCATTTGCATCAGCAGAAGGAAGCAAGTCTCATTCTCTGAAGGGGAGTGGCCTTTCACTTCCTGAACAACTCTTCCCCCAAGCTCAGCCAGCCCTGCTAGTTCAATGGGGCAGGCCCAGGAGATCTTACCCTGTCTAGAGGGGCCAAAACAGTCATGTGTGCTGAACCTTTTAGGAGCCAGTGACAACATTCTATGTTATTTTCTTTTTTTTCCTGTAACAACCATCCAAAATAGGAATTATTACCTTTAATTTTCTAAGGAGGGAACTGAGGCTCAGAGATAGGAAGTAACCCGCCCATATCATATATCAAGACATAGAGATGACAGGCTCTGATGGCGCCAGAGTATATTGGACCTGGGTTCACAAGTGGCACCATGGACAGTGCCTGGGACTGGACCCCAAAACCCAAGGAGGATAGAGGCCTGGTGTCCAAGCAGAGAAGAGGGATAGAAATGTTTCTCTGGGCAGGTGGACCGGACCAAGACAAATGTGGGGTACAGGGGCTGCCTGGATACTGCACATGAGTGCTAGAATGAAGGCCTCAAGAGTTGCTTCCTGTCTCTGGGCCTCCGTTCTCAGTGAGTCTACGTGTGGACACTGCACAGTTTGTGTGGCAGGGAATAGCACACACAGGGTCACTCACATCCTCTCCCTCACCTGGCTTTCCTCACTGCCCTCTCCCCTACTCAAAGACCATCCCCAGGAGGAGATCTCCTATACAGGTGAGGCTGAAGAAGACTGGTCCTGGACCTCAGCCCCTTTCACTGTCTTCCCCAATGCCCACAGCTCCCTGGAAAGGGAGCTGGCCGCCCTGCTTTTTAGGAGTCCAACCATAACCCTCCACAGGCTCGCTGGGCTGCCCTGGCCAGAAGGAATGCCTGTCTGCATACATCTCTGACTACTCAGCATCCTAGTGATTCATTTAGGTACATCCTTCTTCCTGGGTATCCTGAGGTTTGAAAGTAGTGTACGCTTCTACTGAATACACATGCACGCGCGCGCACACACACTCAGGACCAGAATGGGGAAGAGGGAACCCAATTCATCTCAGTAGGGTTCCAAGAGTTGACCTCTCACCCCCACCGACACTGCCACTACACAGAGGGAGGACAGGAGCCTCTTCAAGCCCCCAGCTCCGTCATCTTCCACTAGGTGGCAGCCCCCCACTTCGAGTGCCAGGAGAGAGATTTCCCAAAAGGTGAGCCAACCCAGCAGCGGAGAGAGCAGGAAAAAGTGGCCGGGGGAGACGGAAGTTAGCTCGTCCCACCCCTCCACGAGAGGAAGTTAGTCAGACACAACCCAGGGGTTCAATCACCACTCCCAAGTCCCTACTGTCTTTGAGGAGGCCAGGGTCTCAAGCTTCACTCAGCTCTCAGAGATCGGGGGCCAGGGGCGGGCGCCTCGCTTGCTCCCAGCCGCCGCGGGGACTGCCCACCAGCACCACTACCAGCACCTGCCGATGGGGGCGGAGTCGACTCGAGAACAGAGTGATCTCTGCTTTGGGAGAAGGGGCTGCAGCTTCCAGGGGTGCTGGAGAGAAAGAGCCCCTTCTAATGGGGGTCACTGCAATTACTGTTTATTCCCACCACCCATAAAACTCCCTCCAGTGCATCGGAGTTTCTATAAGGGAATCTTTTTTTGTATCCCCGCTGAAACTCCAGAGGAGCCCCATCTCCCACGTCCCCCAGGCTGGGCCCCTGGGAAGGAGCAAGCGAAGTCCACCCTCCTTACCTGCGTCGGGGTCCGCGATCGCTGGTTAGCAGCAGTCAGGCAGCTCATCCACTTGGGCCACTCGGCTCGATGGCCCACCCACCTCAATTTCCATTGGTCAGCTGTCCGGGATGTCGCACTCCCATTGGCTATTCGTCGACGTAAAGGCGGGGCCAACCTGGAATCCTGTGTGTCTTTTCCTACTCAATTCACTCTCCTCCCTCCTTCCTCTCTCTCCCCAACCCCCCATTTCTAGGGATCATGTGATTGGGGAATCATGTGACGCCCTGGGACGGCTCAGCCTGTTTGCTGAGCCCGCCGCCTTCTGTTGACCCATCCCGACGGTCAGCTCCTTTCCGGGGACATTGAGAGCCAAGAGATCTGCCCCTTTAGTGGGTGCGTTCAAGAGCGTTTAAGGGGTGTCTCCTGGATTTAGAACATTTGTCTGTATTCTCTTCATCCCATGAAGATTTAAGGCTCGGCAGCCGGGCCCCAAAGGGGACTGAAGAGTTGTGAGGGCAAGGATAAACAGACCTCAGGTCCTTTCCTCAAGGTGCTCACAGCAGGGGGTGGGGTGGGGGTTGGAGAATCGTGTTCCAGGTGCTCCGGGGTGTGTAGAGAAGAGGTATTGGTTAGATCTGAGCATGAAAAAAAGATTTAATTCCACCTTGGGGGCACTTTTTGGAGCTGAGTCTGGGAAGATCTTAAGTGGCAAGTGGGGAGGGGTTGGAGAAGTGGCTAGACAGGGGGTATTGGGAAAAGCATTAGAAAACCAGATGGGAAGGGCAGCCTTGGGCAGGGATCGAATGCCAGGGTCAATGGAGTGCACGTGTGGAGTAGCTGGGTGTGTGGCACCAGGCTGGGCTGACGGTGTGGGTGCGTACCGGAAGTAGCTCCTTAGTTTCAGTCAAGCCCTGCCTTTCGGGAATTGACTTGTTGATGTGCGCAAGCGTGTGTATTCAGTCGTATCCGACTCTGCAACCCCATGAAGTCTCCTCTGTCCATGAAATTTTCCAGGCAAGAATATTGGAGTGGATTGCCATTCCCTTCTCCAGGGATCGAACTGCAGTCTCCTGCATTGCAAGCAGATTCTTTACCACTCAGCCACCAGGGAAGCCCAAAAGTGAAACTGTTAGTCGCTCAGTTGTGTCCGACTTTTTGCGACTCCATGGACTGTAGCTTTCTAGGCTCTTCTGTCCATGTAATTCTCCAGGAAAAAATACTGGAGTGGGTAGCTATTCCCTTCTTTAGGGGATCTTCCCAACCCAGGGATCAAACTGGTGTCTTGCACATTGCAGGCAGATTCTTTACCATCTGAGCCACCAAGGAAGCCAGTGAGGGAGAGAAAATATACCACACAGAACAGATTCACCAGTAGCAGGAGCTAGACTGCTCGGTGCCCTTTACAGGGCCTGGCCCAGGCAGAGATGGGTGATGGGAGATGTACCAGGAGATACTGGAGGAAGCCTGATGCCGGATCTTGGAGGAAGGGCAGTGTTTGGTTGCCAAGTGGATGGGAAGCACTGTAGGTTAAGCAGAGAGCTTGGGGTCGGGGTGAGGCTGGGGTTGGGGACAAATAGGCAAACTCAGGGGTGGTGGGAGTCTGTGTATGGAAGAAGTGGCAGAGTTGAGGAACTGTGTGACAGCGGTGCTCAGCCTGGGCCTGCAGAGGGTCCAAAAGGTGGATTAGGCTCCTGCTGAGAATCAGGACTGTTCTGTGTCTATGACTGTTCTGTGTCACTGTTCTGTGACTCTATGCTTATTCCCTGTCTCATATATCCATATGCTTCTATGGACACAGCAAGCACAGATACACAAATACCATGCAGTGTTTGGCAAATCAATAAATGAACCTATAATCATAACTACACAGAACCAGAAAAAAATTACACAAAGAGGAAAAAAAAAACAACCTAGAATGACGGAAACAAATATCACAAAATCCATAATAGAGTGATTTGCCCACTAGGGACATTAGGCAGGGTTTGCAGACTTTCTAAATTGTCACAGTTGTGGGGCGATGCTAGTGGCATCTAGGGGCAGGAGACAGGGATGTTGCTGAACAGCCTACAATGCACATGATGGCCCCCACAACAAAGACTGAAAGTGTCAGTCGCTCAGTCGTGTCCGACTCTTTGTGACCCCATGGACTGTAGCCCACCAGGCTCCTCTGTCCAAGGGATTCTCCAGGCAAGAACACTGGAGCGAGTTGCCATGCCCTTCTCCAGCGGATCTTCCCGACCCAGGGATCGAACCCAGGTCTCCTGCATTGCAGGCAG